GCACCCCAAAATATGTTACTAACATTATTCTCATGCTCAATCCAAAACACAGCACTATACCAGCTACTAGGAGGAAAATCAATTCTGTCCCAGCCAAAACCAGGACAAACGCTAAATCTCATGTTTTCCTCTACATTTTAATCCATCAATTGGAGTAAAAACCACACTTTGTACCTGGCCACGAGAATATCTGTTATTGAAAGCATTTTATCATAGTACAGCCAAAGAGACTGATACAGCAAGAGCAGTGAAATACCAGAAGAGGTGATCTGTCTTATCTTAAACTGGGACAAAATCTTTTTTAATTAGCAGGGAGGCCAAATATCAACTTTTTACCTTTTTTTTTTTTTTTTAAACAAAGCCCATGGAGCACTGACTTTGCATATGCTAGTCTAGTTCCACAGTTCAAAAAACTTTCATTTGTGGCATGTGAAAATGATAAAACATCCTTTATTCATTCTGATTTTTACTTTTATTATTGTTGTAAACAAACCAAGTTCCTTTGCTAAACAGCTACAGAAGAATGATCAGCCCAGAACAGATGATTAGTGGAGACTTAAATCTGTGCACAGACTTGTCCAGCTGTTTTAGCAGAGGCACAGACATTTATCTAATGACTAACAAAATATACTTGGGGTTAAGACTATTTCTAGTATAAAATAAATATAAAATATTTATGTTCTTTAACCTTTGCAGTTTAGAAATGTATCGTATAAAATCAAAGCAAAGCATTCAAGATCCCATGACATATTAAACTTCCTGAAAATGGCATTAATATCTTATGCACACTTACCTATGCATCCATTTTAAGACAGAAATCGATTAGTCAATTTGCATGAACTATCACAAGGTACTACGATTGCAAACATTTTCCTTATAAGCAGCTGCAGAATGTTTTTAGACCACCTATAGTGCTGTTGTTATTACACCTAATCCTTTGCCTTTGCACAATTCCTATTTCTTTGAACACATGTAAGACTTATACTAGATTCTCGTTTCACTCATACCACCATAATTGCCAGAATATAATTATGTCCATCAACAACCCATGTGCTTGTATGGAAACTGACTTTATTGTCTCTCAATCTTGTAGGAAAATTAAGTATTGATGCAATTTCTATCTTTACTTCTTAAATTATTTGAAACTGTTCTCAAAACCCCAAAACAAAATTATAATTTAGAGCCAGAACAGGCCAACATACAAAGTGATATGAAATGAATATTGGGGAAAAAAAAGAAGAGGAATTATGAGACTTTATCAGTGCTTTGAAGGATACCACTAACACACAAAGCTTTCCATATGTGTATCATGCTATGAGGTCAGTCCCTACATGTTTGAAGTACCTTCTGTACTCTCCTGCAGTAAGTTGCTCTGAAACGTGCTCTTTGTTTCAAAAAGGACAAAAACCCCCAAGAGAACACCTCTATACTTGCATAGCAAGTAGAAAGCTGAACTGAGCTAGCTATGCAATTAGCCAGCTATGCAATTAACCATTCTTGAGGCTTGTATTGTTCTCAAGAAAGTTGTAAGATTTTACTGGAGTTGGATTAAGTCACACAATGAAAGGGCAGTTGAACTGTGATTCTCCTTCAAGAAAGCATCTACAGACAATCTTTCTGAACAGCACATTCCTTTGTATGCACAAAAGTACGGATTATTTTTCCCTGTATGACTTCTCCTCCAACCATAATGCTAGAAAGGGACTGTTTACCCTACACTGGCAGATCCTTTCAGCTACCTGGCTGACATTACACCAACCTTCATTATCTAGTTTGGCTGTTTGGAAGTTCTTTTGCAAAGGACTCTTCAGATTTAATGGAAGCTAAATCTTTATCATTCATTAAAGCTTTTACTCTGTTTCCAATGACAAGTGCACCTCATGGATAAGATTTGTCCTTCTTGTGATATTAACCTTTCACCACCCAATGGAAATATGTGTGGTAAAGTTTGGGAATACGGCTTTCCAAAGCAGTTTTATATGCATAAGGCTCAAGTCATCACGGAGAGATTCTGTGCAGAGACAATTCCAGCAATGTTTCTTGGTAGAGTGACCTTGACAAGTGATCCTCAAAGTGCTTTGCACAGTTATTGCCAAAGACTTAATAAGAAAGAACTTGTTAGTGACAAAAGAAAAAGCTGTATTGGCATACATTAAAAATATATACGCGTATCTATCAGAAGATGTTAGCCCAAGGCAGTACTTCAAATGAAAACATGACAACTTCAATCAGATTTTGCTACAAAACACTGCAAACATGTATGATAAAACCAGAACATTTCCAGTCTGTGTTTCAAAATGATTTTATATCTCAGAAGTATTAAGGGGAAAAAAAGTAAAATAACATTTTATTCAATGATAGTATTACCAACCTGGAGCATAACTTCTAGAATATTTTAAATCAGAAATTCTAACTTTTTTTTGTAGTTTCCTTTAGGTGAAAACATTATATACAGGTCCATGGCAGGGAAAAAACATTTCATTAGAATTGCATTCTTAAAATTGAAGACAGAAATTCCCATAAGTTTTATCTGTCACCCTAGTAAAGGAAGGCCATGGGCCAGGGACCTACTGGTTCACAGGTCAAGAGGCATCCAGCTTGCAAAAGGCAAAGTTTCTACAGGTTTGCCTTAGAAAAAGCTAAGTAATAGCACTCCAAAATACAGTCAGAAATCAAGCTAGTACATAAATAGTGTGGATGATTAGGATCCGGTGCTCTTTATCAGTCCTTTTTGTTTAACTGCACAGACGTAGCCTCACAACGTACAGGACCTTGCTTTTGCTGTTGCTTTTGCTGGAAGTTAACTTTCACATCAGTTTTGAAAACAGACCTACCTACCCATGATACCTTCCTGAACATAAAAGCTAAATAAATGAACGTTGTCCTTCTGTAGGTAAACGTTACTACATTATGACTGGCAAATCACTGTATTTGTGGTTTTGATGGATTGTGCCAATCAGTAAAGTAATTTATATACATACCTATTCTATCATCATGTTGTTTCCAGATATAGGAACAAGTGAGCATGAATATATGAATTCCTGCTTTTCAAAGCAGGTTGATGAAAATAGTTTTCATCTACTCAATCACCGGTTCTTCAGACCTGTAACGGGCAGAGCTTTTCAAATGTCATTTCAGTCAAAACCAAACCAGAAAAGCATCATAAAACACACAAAGACAACATGTCTTTTAAAGGAGACTCTCCAGCTGTTTGCTTACCCTGGCTTTCCAGTTCTTCAGCACCTGTGAAAAGACCAGGGCGTGGTCTTGACTGTTTTTACAAACACAGACAACATTCTGAAATAGATTTCATTTGCCTACAGACAGCTGCACATCCACGTGGTAATTTCAAAATGCCACGACCACCTCATAGGAATGCTGCACTGTATTTCCACAGCCTTCAAATTTTCCTAAGTAGGCTTTATTTTTTACAGTTCACTAAATCAGACTGCAGTTTTCTGAATTTTAGGATTCAGTTCACAGCAAGAATGAAAGCTCAAAAGAACATAAGTTAGTTCAATTTCAGATACTGCTTTGGTATGCTGATTGTAGGGCTCTCATTTAACGCACAGTCTATTTGTAAAGAAAAATCAAAACTGCTTTTTGAAACGATGCTACGGCTGCATAGCTTTATGATGCTGAATAGCTGCTCTCAGTCGTCTCAGTGATAATTCTGGAAGTAAAGCATCCAACATCCAATGTATTTGATCTACAATTTATTTATTTGCTGGTACAATTTAGCAGAACTGATCAGAATGATTCAGAGTATTTGGAAAGTAGTTTCTAACTTTAACAAACTTCATAAAATGTGCTGTGTGTCAGCTGATAGCGAAGAACTTCAACATTGTACAGCTCACGTTTTAGGCTCCCAAATTTCTTCAGAATTATTAGTGAGTTGCATTATAATTTCAAGAAGCTGCTTAGGATCCATTAAGGCAGCAAAACATTTGGTTCCTTACTATTCTGAAAATATTTTTGTACTTCATAAGATGTCATTGCATTGGGACAGTAATCCACATTATGTATTGCAAATACATTCAATTACATCATAAATAAACTTCTTTTCATCCAAACAAACCAGGTTCAATCCAAACAGACTTTTGTCTAAGTACTCAGAAATATTGTAGAAGTAATCATACAACTTGTACCATCAGTACATATCTTGGGTAAAATTCTGTCTTTACAGAACTACCTCAAAACACATATGCTATTTCAATCTTAATTAAACAATCAGAATAAAGCTTAGAAGGGATTTGCATGGTACACAGGTCTTGAGTGCCTCTCGACTAAAGACACAGTGAAATTTCAACTACTTGCCATAATCATGTAAGATTCAAAGATACAGCTTAGAATGAAAAGTAGTTTGACATAAGATTCTTTCAAGCATCAATGATAATTGAAAAAATTCTAATAATATGAAGCAATAAAAGCAGAGTTTAAAGCTACAAGAGAGTTAGAACCTACTATTCAACTGGTTGCACATGTGTGCATGTATACACATATTTATGTTTAAAACACTCATATGTGTCTTTTGGTATTTTTTATTTAAACTACTTTCCTGTACCTTCTGGAAATGTTTCTATTTCTGTAATATAAATATTCCTAAAAAAGAAAATATTTACCTAAAATTGTTTAGAAAATTACTATTGAAACTGATCATCTTCCTCCCCTTCAAACTCACAGATCATGAAAAATGTAACAGGCAAATCTGTAATTTGGCCTTCAGCAACTTTGGAAAATAAAGACAGAAAACACAGTCAAAACCTATTCAGAACTTCTCTGTCCATTAATTAGCTGAAAATTTTTATTATGTTTCACTAATGTTAGCGTAAAATCTAAATTAAAGGTCCAATCCCATCTGCTTTTGAGAAAATATAGGTTTTACTTTACTAGAAACAATATTAGAACCAAAATCAGTCAAAATGACTAATGATACATTAGTATTATGTTAACAAACAATGAAGGCTCAGTAAAAAGAATACAAGGCAAAGAAGAGAATAGTGCACTGTGGTTTTATTGATGGCAGCAATGACAATTTGCCTCTTTCATATGTAAAAAGTATTCAGCTTCATGTAACTAAGAACTTTAAAAAAGTCTCTTGTGGTGTCAGGTCCAAATTCCTTCGGCTCACACGAGCTTTCTTTGTTCCATCCTGTTGCCAGAATTTCTTCTAGAAGTCTTCAAGCAAGTTGGAGCTGCCAGTGAATTTCCCCCACCCCGAGAAGGTTGCTAAATGAAAAAAATAAAATACAATGGATAAGCGTAAAAACTTTCTGCTCTTTGTGCAACATATGCCTTACAGTTATTTTATTTTCTTCCTCTGGAAGAGTAGATATCTGCTTTTCAGTACTGAGAGAGACCTAAGTCTTTAAAAAAAAATAAATCAGAAGGTTGCACTTCAATGCAATGAACATGATCGGTGTAATAGGAGGAAAGGATGCTTTCTGGTAATGAATTCTCACAAAAAATGTAATTTCTCCATTACTAAGGGCTTCAATACAGGTTTTATAGCAAGTTTGACAGGGTGAAGATTAATTCTGTCATGGAGCAAAGGAGAACTCTCAAACAGATAATGACCAAGCACTCATAGGGTCTTTCAAGCTTCTCCAGAAGCGATGACCCTCCAAAACACTAATTTCTGATTACTTATTCCCCTTCTTTTTCATATTATCATGAAATTCTTTTCAAGAAGTGTAAGTTCAGAATGTATTTTTATTACTGTTAGAATTCTAAATTCTATCTTGATTCTCTAGGAGAGCATCTTGTTTTACAGACCTGTTAATGTTAGTATTTGACTTATACCCTAAACAACCTAGAGTGGGTTCAAGGGTTCTCAATGCAGTGCTCTGATAAAATTCTGAGTTAGTGTTCTCTACCTCATACTGCTGGATATTCATAAATAATCATTTCTAGGCCAAACGCAACCACAGCAAGGTACTGACTATCCCATCCATCTGTTACTTCACCTTAACATGACTATCGTGCTGTCTTCATAATAAACACCAAGTCAAGCCTTCCTGCACTCTGCAATTGTTCTTAATACCTTCAGTGTAGAACAGCGTGGCAAGCAGCTCTTCAGAAGGACAGAATCATAGAATAATTTGGGCTGGAAAGGACCTTTATCTTTATCATCTAGTCCAGTCCCCACTGCAATGAGCAGGGCCATCTTCAATTAGATCAGGTTGCTCAGAGCCCACTCCTGCCTGACCTCGAACGTTTCCAGGGATGGGGCACCTACCACCTCCCTGTGCAACCTTTTCCCATGTTTCACCAACCTCATTGTAAAAAATTTCTTCCTTATGTGTCGTCTCAATCTCCCCTCTTTTAGTTTTAAACCATTACCCCTTGTCCTATTGCAACAGGCCCTGATAAATTTCTGGCCCCATCTTTCTTATAGGCCCCCTTTAAGTACTGAAAAACCTCAATAAGGTGTCTCCAGAGCCTTCTCTTTTCCAGGCTAAACAATACCAATACCAGATCCAAATTCTGCTTTTAAAAAAATAACTCAGACTTACAAAAACTTAAGCCTCCTCACATTTAAGACCCCATTACACTGTAGACATAGATTAGGAGCTGAGATTTGTCGATTTTAATTCCAGATATGCAAGGGCAACTTCAACACCTAAATGAGCATACCGAAAGTTAACACAGGAAGCAGTGTAGCTTCATTTCTGCGTTGTTGTACAGTGCTAATAAATCCTCCCTGGCAACTGATGTAGCATTATACAGGCAGGTCTAAAAGCCTTTAGGTCTGAGGTGGTCTACTGTATGGACCTAACGTTTCATCTTAGATACATCCCTGTCATACTCTATACAATATGGTCAGCAAATTTTACATTTAGAATTGCCTAAGTTGCCTTTGAAAACAAGGCACCTTGGCATTTTATATGTTAAACACTACAATATTAATAGTATAAAGAATTTTCCAATTTATAATATAAATTAATCATCAACAAGGGCTCTCCATCTCTCCTCAGGAAAAAAAAATGGTACAGAGGTACAGAGGTACTCCTCTCAGAGTAAAGGTGTCATTACTGAACATTCTGGTGAAGACGTAAAGCATCCTCCAGTGGAAAGCTGTGATAAAACTATGTATTAAAACTTCCCCTCATAAATCACGTCTTCATCTAACAGGTTATCAAAAACTTGAAATAAGAACAGTATACCATACTCTCAAAAGCACTAAGGAATAAAAAGCTGGAAAAAGCAAAATGAAATCCACTTCTAGGAATTGACATTCAATATTCCAGACCTTTCACGTGTCAAGGCATTACAGCTACACTGTTGTACAAGCCTTGGTAAGCTGAAAGCAATTTAGAAAACGACTCTCTGACTTTCTGACTACATTGAAAATCAGAGAAGAAATTATTACAACCACCACTCATGTCTGGAAAAGCTTAATAGATTTTCCTTACTGTTCTCTACCAAATTCCACTGCCTTTAACCAGTACCTCATAAGGTCATGTCTAATGCATTTCAAAATGCAACGTAAATATAACATCGGGATGGTAGCATGAGATGTACTAGGGGTAGCTATAAGCCATAGCTGATAAGTATGTCCACCACAATATGTCCTCACATCACTTTACCTATCAAATAAAGCAGATGAGGGCAGCTACACTGGACACAAGACAAACTTCAGAAAGCAATTCTAGCAGGTGAAAGCTAGCCTGTCCCACACAGAAGCAGCTTCTGGATACAGTACTACAATATTTTTATCCTCAAAAAGACCGCCAATAAAGCGTTCTTAAACTGAGGAAGAATTTCCACTTCCTGTGCTATTCAGAGATCACCACAAATGACATACTGTTGAAAAGAAGGGAACAGGATGTTCAGTTTTACAAATATTCACTAGAACACAGTGGTAGAGGGAAAAAAAAATCCATGTTACAAATTCTAGACAACAAAAAAAGGATTGTTTTGGCTGGAACTAACAGAAGAGCTAACTATGCCTAAGTAGCACCACCCAACCTCTACTCAGAAGGTCTCTCTCACCTCTTTTTCTTTTTCTACCAGAGTGATCCTAGTGTTTCAAGAATCTAAGACCAATGTATTTAATTTCATATCTTCACTTCTTTTTGGTGTTAACATCCAATAGCTGATACAACATTTTATGTTGAAATGTAGTTGACCTGAATACTGGAAATTTTACAAGTACAAACCTATATCTAACAAAGCAACTAATTAAAATAGATATGATTTGATCTAGAGAGAATGAATCTTCCTACCAAGCAGTAAGTTACATTTTCTCATAAAGAATTGCTGTTTAGAGTGATAACTGTTTAAGGTATGTATAACTCCTACGATATTTGCTATTTGTACTGTAGAAGATAAAGTACATAACATTCCAACCGAGTAAGATTTAAAAAACTAGGCAAAAATTTCCAAGTTTAAGCTGCCACTGATTGTGCATTGCATACGGTAAGTTCATTCAGTTTTGATGACAATTTAGCACTGACTTGAGCAGATGCTGCAAAGTCCTGAGCAAAAAGAAGACACAGGAAATACCTCATTTCATCAACTGAGGAAGTGGGTTTTAAATTATGATTAAAAAAAAGAAGGATATATCTGGGAAGTACTGTCAATGAAAGATGTACTTTTTAAAGCAAAGTAAGCAGTTCCTTAAAAATTACATTCAGCTGCATGACATTTTCCAGAATACATCTTGATTATTTTTTTCCTGGATGAGAAGAGTCCATTGATACTTGCTGACAAATTCTTTTAGGTTTATTTAGCTGACGCTATTTACCACCTGAATCTAACCCCTTCATTTAGCGATGTCTGACAGTAATCAGTATTATTTGAACTGGGGCAGGTGGAGGGCTGTAATTGTGTATTTTTTATGGTAGGTAGGTTTTGATACAGAGCCTGCTGTCCATTTAAATCAGGATCCTGTTAGAATCTTCAAAGCAAGGTATAAGAAAACGTTCAAGGAACAACCACCTGTACCTTAAAAAGGTTGTTCCTTACTAGCCAACAATTCATTCACTCTTCTTGAGGCAAAGAAGTTACTATCACTCACTCTAGGTGGCTTTTTCCCCCCTGTCCCAGCTGACCAAAGCCAAATTTACACTGTAAAATTAGAGAAATACCAAAAATAAAGACACAAAAAACCTCCCTGGTTTCAACTGCTATCTAGAATGAGTACATCTCATTTGGCTGATCACACCGACACTCCTCTGAGCTGACTGAGATGGTTCAGAACTCAGCTCGAGCCCATATGCCAGAATTATTCCTGCAGAAATTTGCTCATGACATGGTCATTGATAGTGATTGATACACTCACTTAAAATAATCAAATTATATGGGCAAAAGAAAAGAGTAATTAAAACCTTGGCAAGAGCCAGTAATAAATTTTGCTCTTATATTTCCAGTACTCCCCTAAATGGAAAAAGTATTTTATTATGTGATCAAAAAAGTAAAATCATATGTTACAGCATGTCAGAAATATCAAAAGCTGCAGTGATCAGCAGCACCTATTAAGCCAACTGAAGGCAGAGTACTGGAGCAAGGAAAGGATCTAAGAAGAGCTCAGTATAAATAAACTGGCTAGAAGGGGAAGAAAAAAAAAATCAGATTCAAGACCAAACCACATTGTAGGTATCCATCAAATAGCATGTGGCTTTACAAAGTTTTCTTTATCCAGGACAGACTTTTAATCAGTATTTGAAAATTAAGGATTTAGAAGAATCCACAAGTAAAATGAATGCAGTACAGCATGCCTTATTTGTTTAGTAAAAGAACTAAAACTGTTTTATCTGACTAGCCTTTTTAACATTTCTGAGTGTACATGTCAGGAGTATTTTCTGAGGATGATATATAATCCCTTAATTCCTGCTAATTAGAAAACTATAGATGCAAACATAGCCTCAAGATTCAGAGTATGGTAAATATTCTTAGGCCTTGTATCTCCCTATTTAATGGTGAGATCAATGGTGAGGTCGCAGATTTTTTAGATTTTAGTGTTACAAATCCTCTCTCCCATACTAAGCGAAACAACAGAAAGAATATTTATTCATATAAATAGCTCATTAAAAAGTAGAATGGTACTGAGTTCTGCAGGGACTACAGCCACTTATTCCAGAGAAGCAGCTGGTCCCATGTATGTGAGTGCGAGAAACTTGCTGCCACTTTCAGGTAAAAAAGTATAAAATAAAAGCTTGCCCAGGTGACATGAGTCCTTACATAAAGCAAAGTTAAAAAGCTATTTGCCAAAGTGTTTTTATTGCTCTCCCTCTTCCCACGGGTATATTAAGTCTCTTTCTACAGCCACAAAATCCAGAGTAACAGATATATCCAACTTCTATCATAAATATACCAATATCCCCCCAAAAATGTAGAAGCAATATGCTAAACATGTCTTCAACGTAGGTGATCATAACAAGCAGTTCTTAAACTAAAAAGACACAACCATAAAACTTTCATTTAAATAATAAGACACTGATTTAATATCAATAGTCTCCGTAGGTGTAGCAATCACTGCTCTATGTTTGCTCCTTATAAAAAGATTACCTTATAAACAACGTTTTTCTAGGAATTTTAAGTTGCAAAATGGTGATTACGGTAACTTATTTGTTCAAAATATTCATCATCTGCAACCAAGTGATGAGGGTTCTTATACAACCAACTACTGGCAAAGTTGTATAAAATTCTCTCACGAACTTCACAAAGACTCAAGAAAGCTGAAGACTACAACAGACCAGACTTACTTTTTATTTATGGGTTTAGGTTTAAGAAATTTCATTATCATATATTTACCTTTTATTCCTTATTGATTAGTTTCTAGCTCTTGGGGGTTGATAAAATTGTTGAGTAGGCCGTGTGGACCGTCTTGGCTGACCATCACCTCCTCTGCGGAATTCTAGAGTTTGCTCATATGTTTCTTCTTCTTCCTCCTGCAGATAAACAGCAGTGTTTTAAATGAAAAGTAGTATTTTAAATGTAGGTAAATACATGAGTAGGCATATGCATCCATATAATACATACATGTATGAATGAATTAATGCACACATAGCAACTGCTCCTTCTGTGCTGATTACCACTGAATAAAATAAGTGAGATAATGGGAGTGTGTTTTTCAAACCTAGGAAAGTGAACAAAACCAAGATGGAGAATCTCAAAACTCAATCCCCAGGGCAGGAGCAGGAGTTATTAAATATTTGCAGAAAAAAAGCATATATATTAAAGAAAAATTGTTTTCCAAGAGTCATACAGGCAGCAAACCCAAGAAGTACGATAACCTCAATAACTTGCAAGAGTAAGAGGAGTATCAGCTTTTGGGGAGTTCAGAAATGAGTGTGGAATTAAATAAAAAAAAAATAATGGAAATGGAAGGAACAGCATCTGGCAATATGCATACTAGAGACACAGATCTGAAACAGTAGATAAAAATCTGTGATGCAGTAATAATGAAAAAAGCCTACAACTGTAGTGGACAAGAATTTAGATATGAATTTTCCATGTGCAGCAATAATAAATGTAACCACTGAATAATATCAAGAGAGGTGGTTACATATTTGCAATATTGCATTCACTCCTAGGCATCTCAATTCCAGAAAGATATTGACAAATTACATGTAGTTCAGAGGAAAAACAGAATGAAAATAATCAAGAGACTGGAGAATGACTTACAAAGGAAGATTAAAATAACTACGTATTTACTTTGGTCAAGAAATAGTGAAAAGAAAAATAATCATCTGATGGAATGGAATAATTGAAAGTGGCACACATTAAAGATAGAGCAGAATTTTAAGAACATTAGAGTTGATAAATAGAAGAAAAAAATTATATACCAAAGAAAAAATTCTGAACATGAGTATGATTGCCAGATAGTGTCTCAGACAAACAGCTGTAATTTGGTTTCTTTCCTAACGCTACAGTCTAGCAGACACCAAGTCTAGAGGAAATTCATGTTTGGTAAAAAGTGCTGAGTACATGTCTCTTAATTCCCTTTAATTCACAACATAGGAACATCCAGGGAAACAAACCAAGAACACTGAATGATTCATTAAAAGTTCATCAACAATTCCAACACCCAAAACTGCTTTGGAGTGCAGCGTGCACATACCAAAATGTAAGCAAGTGACAGCAGTAAGTATTTCACTGTAAGAGACATAAGGAAAAGCTACAGCTTAAAATTTCTTTCTGTGGTAAAAAGACAGATTTTACTCAAGAAGCATGTCTTTCTGAATCAACTTGAATATTAATAAACATGCATTTAAAAAAATAACAGTTACAGACAACCACATTCCTCATGGTAAGCTCTCCTGTTTAGAGGGCATGTCTGTGGTTATAGCTGTATTTCCAGAACAACAAATTAAGCCCTGCTACAGAGTCTGCAATAACTGTAGAAGAAAACAGATGTTCAACACAACAGAATACAGCATAATTGATTTATACCTTTTAGTTTCACTGTAGCCAAAGGCTGAGAAACACAGAATTCTGCCATAAAACTTAGTTTGCTCAGTGTACCTCTTTTACTGCTTGCAGCACTATTGATTCCCTCATATAAAGAGGTTCAGCAACACCGATTATCCAGAAGAAAAAAAAAAGAAAACCACAAACAGAAAAGCAGAAGCTAACAAAAAATCCACACAGTATGCAACAGTACAAACCCCCACCACTGACAATGCAAACTGTACCAGCATCAAAACGTTAAAGGGTAAGCTAGATGCCTGGAGTGGTCCAAACACCTCTAGCTCCTCCAGTATACTCCAAGAAACCCGAGTAGCTGAAAATAGTTCCACATTATTTGCCAAAAGAGTAAAGAAAGACGCAATTGCAAGTTCTCTTAAAATTCTTTGTCGAAGTTTCAACCTAACATAAAAGAGCTCAATTTTCAAGAGTAAATTGCGAAACTTTCATGTGATTGCTATTTGGATTTGTCCAAAAATGAAAAACTAAATGGCATATATGACAATTTAGCAATGCATACTGCTATTTTCAAGAGACTGCAGTAAATTAGACATGAATCTTCTTTGCAACCTTGGTAGTCTTTACTCAAAAAGAAGAGAAATTAAGTAGTTTCGTGCATTGTGTCTCACCTGTAATAGCCAACCTCTTTCTGAGGATACACGTATGACAGTAAATTTCTAGAGCAGCAAATCTTCATCAAATCTCAATGTTAATATTGTTGATCCACTGAATTTAGTAAAAATCAAATTAAAACTAGAATTCGTCTTACACATTCCGATTTTGGTTTAGTTGTCTTCACACATGCAATGTTTGCACCTGAAGGTTTTCATTCCAATTCAATTATTTTTATTGCAATAGGCACGAGTGAAATGTGACATCACACGGACCTTCTTGAGGCTCTGAATTAAATGAAAGCAAGCAATGCAGCAAATGATAAGAAGAACGAATGAACAACAGAACACCTTTCAACTGTTCACTTGTTCTTCTCTGCACAGTGGCTCCCCAGTTACTGACTGCCTTGTTGAAGTCTGTCATCTTCACGACAGATGACACATTGCCATTTGTTTCTTGCACCTTCCCTACTCACATTTGATCCCAATTGTATCTAACATTCTCTAAAATAACAATTTGCCAAGCCATACTTTTAATAAACATTGTTTCTTGTTTTGCAAATAACTGCATTTCCTTTCTTCCAACATTTTTTGATTACTGACCCTCAATCCACCACTGCTAATCTTCCATCCTTTTTCTATTGCCACTTTGTTTTCCATCTTAAAGATTTTTTGGATGTTCATCTTTATCTCAATTTACTTCAAAATATCTCTTTCCCATACTCAAAACCGACATCCCTCTTGTGGAACAGCATCCACACTTTGTAGGGATGTTCATCACCTTTTATTTTTTTCTTTTGTTCCTAAAAACTTCAGCTGTCTAGATATCTTCCATTATAAGCCTGCAATTGTGTCACATATCTTGCCACCAACTCTATTCTTCCAGTCTTTCTTGCTGCTTGCTCTCAACTTATCGGTGGATAGTAACTAATTCTAAACTATTCCATTTCCTACTTCCTTATCCATAGAAGTTCTAGATTGCATTTTATAAAGCAAATGTGGCCACAAATCTCTCTTAGAGCATTTTCATCCTCCTTCTATTACCAGTTGAGGTTTCATATTAGTACACTGCTCCAAAAATTTATGTATTTTATTATCTTCATCCTTCAGCGTATCATTCATTATTTATCTAATATTCCAGGATCAAGGACTGAGCTTTCTAGTACTTGCACAATGCCTACCTAGGGCTATGTAGCCCAAGATGAAACGATACCACTAAGCACAACTGCAAAAGATAGCAAAAACTGGCAGACCCACAGGAAAAAGCAAGGAAAGGTGCACAATGCAATGAATGAAATGCCCAAAGAAATTAATGCAGTAACAGGTTAGAATGACATGACAGAGGTTGGAAAATGTCAGCATTCCTTCTGTACTTAAAACAAGATGGTTGACCACAGAAGCATAAGTCATTGGGAATTTCAGCTTCTATTCAATTTTGCCATAAAAATGTGGTGTTTCTTCTGATATTTTTGTTCCATCTCGTAAAGACAGGTAAGTACTAAATAAGTGTAAAATGCAAACATATGCAGACTCAGTGCTTTTATTTTGGACCCATATATTCTGAAGTTTGTACCACCACCACACTTTACCAGCTGAGCTTAGTGAATCAGCAAGTAGCTTCAGTCCAACTAAGTGACTACCAGCATCCTTTTACATTAAAAAAAAATGCAATGGATTTTATAGCTGCATTCTTAAGTTTATAATTATATATATAAGGATTTAAAATACTTTAACAAGCAAATTTATCTTTAAAGCTAACAATATTAGAGCAGAGTAAAATTATATTTCATTAAGAGCTCTCCCATTGAATTTCCATTGCAAGACTTCTTTCAGTGCATTCAAGAGAACTGTTTAGAAACATTTTAAAAAATAAAAACAGTCCTTGAAGTGACTACTTCCTGTATAACTTCTGAGAGCAATGAACAGGTGGATGACAGTGAAGAACAGAAGTTACGCACCACACATGAGCTTTGCTGAATGTTCTGCTCACATGCATTTAGGATGCAGCTGCAAGTCATGGCTCCAACAGTTTGCCACCTACAAACTAGTTACCTCTGCCTATTCCTGCTCATGAAAATTCTCTGTTCACTGAGCCCTTGTGCTAAGGCTTTTCCATTATAGCTCTCCGTGGGCTACTAAGGGATAAGCAGCAGAGCCTCTGCATGGATTCACGAGGGAGCAGTGTGTGGCCAAGAACCACGAGATGGAGAGAAGGCAAGGCAAGCAGAAGATATTTTCCATTTCAGTAATGTCAAACCACTGCTTCACTTGAGGCTGTAGTTTGAACTTCACCCATATACTCAAAGCATGGAAAACTTGCCAGACTCAGCACAAAGAGGAGTGCTTGCTTCCTTGCAAAATTAACTTCTCTTTCATGTGCATTTCAACTCCCATTTCCCGTTCCAGACGTAATCCCTCCTTACAGTGCCCACTATGCTGGCAACAGCTGTCTCCTGCTGTTAACACACCAAGTGATGTCTTCTTTTGCTGGTTAAATTCCTTTCTTAAAACCTGCCTATTCTGCCTAAACATCTAGTGTTGATCTTCTTGAGTGCTTAAACTTTGATAGTTGCAGTTTCTACTTACCTGTGCTTGTATCAATTGAAAGCAGACTTAAAATTTCCCATATGTATTAAAAAAAAAAACCCACCACCACCAAAAACAAACAAACAAAATACCTGAAACACCAAGCACGTTATAGCCATTCTGAAAAAAACCACAACTTTCCTAGGAAAAGCTAAACTTAAATATTCAAATTGCAATATAGAACATATCCTGTACTTGTAAACAAAACAAATCATTGGCTGAAGTGTCTACAGCATTCCCTTAAACTTTTACTTTAACTGAATACTTGAATCGATTCTTAGAAC